TCTGAGCTTTGGTGTGTCAACATTTAACTGTCTTCTTTAAGTGAAATGAGCATCTCTGTGGTCACGCATTCTCATGAAATCAACATGTAACTGTTTCTTAAGTGAAAAAAAAGCGTCTTTGAGGTCGCCTTTTGACGTGAAATCAACATATCACAGTGTATGTGTATTTTTTTAAGTCAAATCAACATCTCTGAGCTTTCCCGTTGAGGTGAAATCAACATATTTATGAGTGTTTTTTTAAGTGAAATGAGCATCTCTGCGGTCACACATTCTTGTGAACTTTTTCTTTAAGTGAAGTGAGCATCTCTTTGTGGTCACGTGTTCTCCTGGAATCAACATTTTAGTCTTTTTGAAGTGAAATCAACACCTTTGAGCTTAGGCATTCTCGAGACATCCACATCCTCGAGTTTACATGTTCTCGTGAAATCAACATTTCACTGTGTCTGAAGTAAATCAACATCTCTGAGCTTATGCCTTCTTGTGAAATCAACATTTCACTGGTTTTGAAGTGAAATCAACATCTTTGCGGTCAGAAATTAACGTGAAATGAATATTTCACTGTTCATTAAGCGAGAAAAAATATATATATTTGCAGTCAGATGCTGACTTTTTAACATTTAAACACCTGAAGATGTTGCCAGAGGAAATCGAGTATTTTTTTGCATACATTATATCTCAAAAACAAAGCAAAAATCAACAGCAAAAATACAGGACCATGTTTTTCTTTTACATTGTGTTGTTCAAGAAAATATCCATACCCCTCTCATGGAAGGTTTTTTAACTTGAACCCCACCCCTCTGGAAATTTCATTTTAGTGCCATACTTTCCTTTAAAAAATTGGGCTTTTGAACCCCTCCTCCCACTTGGAATTTCTGTTAACCTTCCTTGGGGTGGGTATGGATATTTTCTGGAACTACACGTTAAAGACCACATGCAAAAATTCAGGCACTTTTGAGAAAAAAATAGTTTCACACAAAATTGTCACTTAGCATGGTTTTGCACTCACCCCCTCACTTGATTTTTGTTGGGTTTTTTTTTTTTCATGATGTTAAACAAAATCCTGCAAAAAATTGTTGCTGCAAACATATTTCCAGCAAATAGTATCCAGCTCCTGAAAATACATTTAATCCATATTGATCACCATTAATAAACAATTTGCTTCTGTCTGCAATAATTAGAAGCATGCCTTTTATTGAGGGACTTTGATATTGAATTATACTACATGTACTACACATTGTCAAAGAACCATAATTATGATACAAAACTATTAGATTCCATGTTCATACTTGTACAATAACATTTGTATGTTGATCAGCCATTTGAACAACACATTTGACAGTACCTGGTCTTCCGTGGTGAAAATCTTTCAAGGATCTTCTCAAACTCATTAATTATTCATCAAGTTTGGGAAAATATGACCGTGACAGTGTTTGATATCTGATCGTATGATTGTAATATGATTTTATCTCTCCGTTTTCTCCTTAGGGAAAGTGTTTGACCACATTTTCAAACACCTCGAAGTTTGTCAAAAATACACCACTTCTCCTTGTATATTCGACTCTCTCCTCTACATGGACAGCTTAAACTTGACATTTATGGTCACTTCTATTGTTGGAAACCTGTATTAAATGGACACTGCAAAAAGATGGCAGTTTTTTTCCACATTTTAATAGATTGGTCATTTCAGTTTACCGACAAAGAGCTGTCACAGAAATGCGATACATTATTTGGTTTTGTTTTACAAAACTTTTGGTATTGTTTGATTTTGTGAACCTTCACATAATTCGATTAATATAGATACTGTGCTGCATACTTAAATGCTTTACCTCATGTACTTGTCATTGCTAATGGAAATACAGTATTTCAGAGTTATCAGCCAGGCATGAGAATGCTATTTGACCCTTCAAAAAGTCTTTCAATACTGATGAATATTAATATGACCCTTTTAAAGCTTTTCAAGACAAATTCTGAAGGAACCTGTTTTCAACAGACACCCTGTATTAAGCGGACACTAGCACAGGTCCCAAGGGTGTCCGCCTAATACAGGTTTGACTCTAGGTGCCCTATTATAAACCTACATGTATTTTACCCTGTTCAGAAAGATCATGAAAACTTTGACAAAAGCAGATTTAAAATAGCTTTAAATTCTGTGAATTGTTTGGTGGTTGGTAAT